AAGAGAAGCTGAGCTTGCTGTTTGCTTCTGAGGACAGTGGTGTGGTAGTGAGATGGTGTGGCAGGTAGGTAGTGGTGGGGCAGTAGCAGGAGCAGATAGGCGGGGGGGGCACAGGCAAGGCCCCATTTTCTGTGCATGCACATGTCCTCTCCTGGCCTCCATCTGAGACCTGGGATTCAGACTCAAGGCCTGGGACTTGGGACCAATTCCATCTGAGACCTGGGATTCAGACTCGAGGCCTGGGACTTGGGACCAAAGAATCAGGACTTGACTCCAGTCCTGTTACCAAAGACTTGCACTTGGATGGTAATATGGGAGGGAAGAATTATATCATTCTGAGGATGGGCAGGGTGCAAATGTATCTAAATGTACTGGAAAATAATAAAGTTAATTGTATAGGAAGATCAAATTACAGTGGTGCCCCGCATAGCGAGGTTAATCCGTTCCAGATTAACCTTCGCTATGTGAAAACTTCGCTAAACGGAATGGGGAAGTTCCAAATGGGCACAAAACTCACCGTTTAGCGAAGTTTCCAGGGTCCGGCAGCCATTTTCGCGCTCTCGGTAAGCGAGGGGAGGGCGCGAAAACGCTGCACGTGGCCATTTCGTATAGGAAGATCAAATTATATGGGCCTCATGAGAACTGCAGCAAAAGGCAGGACGGAGCACCCTGTTCCTCAGACCTATCAACTCTCATGAGAATTGCAGCAAAAGGCAGGAAGGAGCACCCTGTTCCTCAGACCTATCAACTCTGGCAGAGAAAATTCTGTCAGAGGGAGCTCTGCTACATTTCTTTTTGCATTAATGATTAAGGAAGCAATCCTTTATTCTCTTAGTGGGATGTCAGTGCTAGTGAACTCAGTGGGAATTATTTCTGAGCGGACATTAAGGTAGGGTCGCAGCTGGGCTATCCGCCTAAGATGGAAAAATGCGGTACGGACCACAGACGCCACCTGGTTTTCCATAGTGAGCGCCGGGTCCAGATGGATACCCAGGCTGCGAACCCCATCGCTGACAGGCAGGGTCAAGCCCCCAAAAATGAGGGAATTACCCAAATCCCCAGCTGTGGGAGCGCCCACCCTCAGTACTTCCGTCTTGTCCGGGTTCAGCCTCAGCCCGTTCTCCTGCATCCATTCCCGTACAGTCTCCAGGCAACGCTGAAGGGACAGAACGGCATCTCCTGCAGTTGGAAAAAAGGAGATGTAGAGCTGCGTGTCATCAGCATATTGGTGGCACCGAGCTCCACACCCCCTGATGACCCTCCCCAGCGGTCTCATGTAGATGTTAAACAGCATACCTAAACAACATACCTAAGATTGTTCTGTAAATGAGCGAGAAGAGGATATTTGGCAGTAAGGCCTTTCCAGGAACAAGGAAATGTGCTGATATGGGCTTATACTTGCACAGCAGAACATCCTTGGCAATACAAGTGGTGTGTTTCCGCTATAGGGTGCTTAGCTATGTCGCCATCCACACTATGGAAGTTGATGAAAGGAAGTAGTGCTGTAGATGGAAGAGCAAGCCCTTATTATTTTCTTCACTCTTTCTGCTAAAAAGCAATAGTCACGGACTTTGTCATGTACTGTCTTCTCCTGGCAACTAGAATGTGAAACAGAGCTTTAAAAAGCTTGTCCTTTTTGATGACCATTTCCAGACTCCCCCAGCCAGCATGGCCAGTTCTAGGGTTCATGCAGCTGTTCTTTAAAACTTTAAAAGTAAGGTTTCCCAGCTCTGCTGTAGGACTATGACCAGTCTTCAACAGTCTTAGCTCCAGCAATTACACTGAAAGAACTGCCACTAGAATGGGTTGATTTAATTTTACTCACCAAGAGAAAATAGACCAACATAATCATTTATTTAAAACAAGTTTTATGAGTATGTATACCATTATTCTCTTCATAGACATGGCCACTTTGTATTCAGATACGAACGTGGCCTGCTCCCACCCTCCAGAACTGGCTGGGTCACTTAACAGGCTCTGCGCGGCGCTCATCTCTGTAGTCATTATCATTGCACCAATCCTGGCAGGAGCCTAGCCAGAGCTTCCCAGCCTCCCTGCTCAGGCAACCACTGTATGCATGCAAAGGTTCAAAGAATTATCATTATGCACACAAATTCAGAAATATTTCCTTTTGGGAAATTAGGACCTCATTTTTACTTTAAAAATGCTTGGACCAAATTAGAATATTAACTACATCATATATTGGAAGAGGCAGTATATATTGAATAAAACATTTTTAAAATGGAATAGTTAGTCATAAATATTCACAATTTGAGTATGGAATATATTAGAGACATCAGGTGGTTATAATGTTTTAACATATGAGTAGAAGATAATGCTCTTGGGCTTTGTGAATGATTCTGATGGTACACAGACTCCTGCATTCTAGCAAGAGTGAAGAGTAGCTAGTTCCCAGGTCCAGTAATAGACTCTAGTAATGTGCTAATTTGATGCTGCCTTGAAAAAATACGTGATAATATACTTAATTAAAATCCATATTATTTTATTGTATGGTTTAAAACAGGGGTGTCCAACCTTCCCTGGGCCATATTAGAAGATGAAAATTTGGTTTGGGCCGCACATACATACATTTGGTTTGGGCCGCATAGGGGGGGCAGCCCTAGCCATCCTCCGCAGCCCTGCTCCAAGCACGCTTACTGGCAGCTGCGATCTCAGACAGCAGAGGCTGCCAGCTTCGACTCCGGCTGCTTTATGGGGTTGGGAGGGGGGCCACCCTGTCCCCTCCCACTCCTTCCTTCCTTCCCTCTCTCCCCCTCTACTGTTGTGACATGCCCCGGCCACATTCCGGCCGCAAGCGCCGGCAGTGTAACTTGAAACTTTGGAATTTCTTTAAAAATAAAAAATTGCACTGGGCCGCATTACGAGCTGACCTGGGCCGCATGCAGCCCTCGGGCCGCAGGTTGGACAAGCCTGGTTTAGAAAAGTGAAGCCATTAATTCAAATAGGCCTGAATTAACAGGTTTGGATTCAGGGCAGTGGCTGAAATCCTGTTACTTGGCATAGTAAGTTGCACTAGAGCAGGCCCATTTAATCAGGAAATTTGGTGAGTCAACTGCTCTGTAAGTTCCATTAATTCAAATAGGCCTACTGTAGTTGTGACTTACATTAACACAGTAAACTGCAACTAGACTAGGCCCATTTCAGTCAGTAGATTTTACAGAGAAAATGACTCATCAAATCCCCACTGATTCAATGGACCTACTTTGGTGCAACTTACAATGACTTATTATAGGATTTACTTATATAGTGCCCAGCAAATAAATGGAAATGCACTAAGCAACATTTCAGCCAGCATGTGGTATTCTGTCTCCTTTTATGTATTATGACACACCTTGAAATGCTTGGAAGAAATTGAAGAACACTTTGACAATTCCAAAACATGCATTTGGAACTGCATGTTTTATGGAAAAAATCCAGCGTTGAGACCTGTTGCTTCCCAGTTCACTTCTCCCTAACTGTGAAACTTGGCCTTTCATGTGTCTATTTCTCAGGCTCGCTTCAGAAAAAGGTTATTTTTATTTGGACTGAGACATGCATTTCTTGGGCTCATTCGATCCCTCATTAACTTCCCTTTATTTAGCGCTACTGGGAAATATTATTTTTTGTAAGAAGAAATGATAATAAACTTTCTTTAAGTAAAAGAAAGTAAAAATAATGAAAGGATGCAGTGACCTTCTTCTGCTCACTCCCCTACCTGTGTTTAAACATTACACTGTTAAGTTGAATTTAAAAATATTTTCATAATGTGTATCTATTGAAGTTTTGTATGCTGTTGTCCAGTTTTTTTGCTTTCTTATTTCCCTTTTATGGCCTCCAGCCTTAATGATTTCTTTACATGGAGGTAGGTGGCAGAGGTGAGGTTGAAAAAAAAGTCTGTGCAGATTTACTGTCTAGAGCAGTGGTTCCAACCTTGAGTTCCCAGATATTTTTAGACTAAAACTCTCAGAAACCTTCGCCAATAGCTGTGCTAGTGAGGATTTCTGGGAGTTGTAGTCCAAGAACATCTAGGACCCAAGGTTGGAAGCCACTGGTCTAGAGCAGTGGTCCCCAACCTTGGGCCTCCAGATGTTCTTGGACTACAACTCCCAGAAGCCTACACCACCACCTCTTCTGGCCAGGATTTCTGGGAGCTGAAGTCCAAGAACATCTGGAGGCCCAAGGTTGAGGACCACTGGAGAGGATACCAGAACAATAGTCAATATAGTAACAAAATAAAGAAAACTGCTTTGGTGTCCCGTGGCTATTCAGTTGTAATGGGGAGAGCAGCCTAATCAGGATTATTTCCGTAAGATCCAGTGGCAAGAAACTAATCAGCCTTGCCAATTTCTTTCAGAAAAATACATTTTATACCTTTCATTCAGTACAATTGAACTGAATTTTTATGGTGTTTGATCTAGTCATGTCTCTCCACCAACTGAAAGGCCCAAACTACAGTAAACAAGTGGGCGGGGGGGGTCATTTGTCCCTCACTAGAAAAAGGTGGGAATAGGTGATTCTTCATGAATTTCTCCTGCTGCTCCCATTGATTGATTGATTGATTGATTGATTGCTTGATTGATTGATTTGATTTGATTTGATTTGATTTGATTTGATTTATTCCCCGCCTATCTGGACTACCAGACCACTCTAGGTCACTACCTTATTGTTACCTTATTTGCTGTTTCAGAGATTCCCTGACTTTCTAGAACAGCTTAATGGAGATCAGAAGGCGGTGGGGATTGGTGAAAATTGCCTCCCTCCTTCCTTTAGGAGGAATCTCCCGGGAGTCAAGTTCTCCAGATGGGCAGTCTAGATCCAAATTTTAATCTGGAGTGAGCAATTGCTTAGTCTTTATGAAGATAGCCTTTAGTCTCTATCAAGACATATTATACGAGGTTCAGTAAATGTGGGAGGTGGGGAAAGCTGCTTGTTTCTTATGCCATAATGTATAAAATAATGAAGTATTAGCTGGAAATGTTGAATTCTGTGTATGTATACAGGAATTTGACAAGAGGAGTCGGTAGATTTAGAGAGATTCTAAGAGCTGTTGAAACCAGAACAACACAAAATCTACGCATGGTAAGTTTATTTTAACTACAATTAGTAAACACAATAAGGTATTAACTGTGAAGTCTACAGTCTTTCATGCCTTTGTCTGGGAGCATGACCCATTTTTAAAGAGTCACAGTCCTCCAATGTGTATGGATCAGTGATTATGGTAATGCTATCCAGTTGAACAAGCTAGTTTTGTAACTCGTAGTTTAAATTTGGCTTGTTAGAAGTTGGCCTTTTCTCAGTTGTGTGTTAGGATGGGGAATGTATGAGCCTGAGGCTTCATTTGGGATCATTCTTGTTTGTATAGATAATATTAAAATTGATTCCATATTATGCATAAGCCACTTAATTAGAACTTTGACAAATAGGGTCCTCAATGAAATATTATTACGGTGTGGAGTGTTCTTCTACTGGTTTCGAGACATTCCATTCCCACATACTCGATTTTTCATCTCCAGCAAGCACTCGGTCAGACTTTGCATCCATTGAGCATGGTAAATTCTCATTGGTTTAGTTTCTTCTAAAGTGTTTTGTGTTGCTTTTTTTATTACAAAAATTACATTTTTTGTAATTATGCTAACTTTCTTCTAAGTCAACTTATGCCTTCCCATTGAGTACTGATGGTGCTATTTTGACTATAAAAATAGACACCCAGGGAGTTTGTGTGTGTGTGTGTGTGTGTGTTTGAACAATACTTATAGCTTATTATGATCATTTGTAGATTTAATGTAACTTTAATCACATCACTACTTACGCATTTTGTTCTGAGGAAAATATTTTTCTTTGACAGACAATAGCAAGGCAGTTAGCTGAAATCTTGCTACGAGGCATGTGTGAACAGAGTTACTGGAATCCGTTAGATGATCCTCCCCATCAGTCACCCCTCAATGATCCTCTCTGGAAGGGTGCAAACACTAAAAGTTATGCACTTAGCCGAAGACCACGAGTATACTCAGGAGAAAAGTAAGCTGTTCATCTGATTTATTAATGTAAATAATTATAGTGTTACTAATAATTTAAACTGGACTAACAGAAGGTTGGAGGCAAAGGAGTAGGAAATCAGAGGCCCTGGTCCCAAATATGTCCCAAGTTCAAATGTGGTTCTCTTGGGGTCCCCATCCAGTTCTTTGGGTTCTAGACTATTAGGCCCTTTTTCCTGTGATGTTTTCTTGGGTTTTGTGCCTGTTTTTGCCCATTGTGAAAAACTGCAGTGACTTCTCTAAAGCTTAATTAAAGAGCTGGTGTGGTGCACTTGAGGTCTAACCATTACTAGAATATGGTCACAGAGAATTTATCTGAAATTTGGCCATGGGGTTGAAAGAGGTTCCCCATCCTTGCCTTAAATATAGTCAGTGTGTCTGAGAGAGAAATAGAAATCAAGTGCAAAGAGAGAAAAATAAATAATTCTATGATTATGGTCATAGAACCATATAATAATGAAGTTAGAAGGGGCCTATAAGGCCACTGAGTCCAACTCTCTGCTCAATGCAGGCATCCAAATCAAAGGATATATGCCAGGTGGCTGTCTAAATTTCTCTTCAATGCCTCCAGTGTTGGAACACTCACCACCTATCAAGGTAATTGATTTCATTGCCATACTGCTCTAATGGTTAGGAAGTTTTTCCTGATATTCAAGCAAAGTTTGGCTTCCTGTAACTTGACCCCATTATTATGTGCTCTGCATTCTGGGATTATTATTAGTAGTAGTAGTTTTATTTACAGTATATGCCGCATTTCTCCCAACAAAGGGACCTAAGGTGGCTCACAGCATTAAAATTCACACAATCAAAAGACAATAAGTTAAATATTAAAAGACAAATTAAACAATACATTATTTAAAATAAAATTAGAAGATTAAAACATGTGAACGTGGATGTTGAGAACAGATCCTGCCCACCCTCTGAATGGCAGCCTTTCAAGTATTTGAAATGTGCTATCATATTTATCAGTTTTATTTATTAGTTTTATTTATATGCCACATTTCTCCGAACAAGGGACTCAAAGCAGCTCACAACATTAAAATTCACACAATTCAAAAACACAATAGGTTGAATATTAAAAGATAAATTAAACAATATATGATTTAAAATACAATTAAAAGATTAAAACTTGAAAACATGAAAAAGATTAAAATTATCTGCTAAAATCATATCTCCCCTGGTCTTCTTTTCTCAAGTCTAAACATGCCCAGTTCTTTCATGATTAAATACTGTATATGTTCTTATTGATTCAAATATTTAATATTCACTTTCTAAAATCTGTTATGGAGTAAACATTGATAGGGGATTAAAATTATCTGCTAAAATCATATCTCCCCTGGTCTTCTTTTCTCAAGTCTAAACATGCCCAGTTCTTTCATGATTAAATGTATGTTCTTATTGATTCAAATATTTAATATTCACTTTCTGAAAATCTGTTATGGAGTAAACATTGATAGGGGCATTACACCTGTGACCTAAGAAAGAGTATCTAAACTGATATTGAAAATGTAGCATACTGTGTTATTTCTAAACTTTTTTGCATTGTTTTAAAGGTAGAGGCATTGAGAGTAAGCATTAAGTTCATGATATACAATATTTGGTAACCCACAAACTGCTTAAAAGCAGTGATCCCCAACCTTTTTAACACCGCAGACCTGTTGGGGAAGGCGGGGCACTCCCCGCTCATGCACATGTGCGAAGGGGTGGGGGCACTGGTGCAGGGGCACTTGTGCACATGCATGAAGGAGTTGTGGGGGAGTGTGGGCAGGGGGTGGGAGATCTGTCTCCACGGCCCCATCCGGCCCAGGCCACGGACCAGCACCGGGCCGCGGAACTATGGCTGGGGACCTCTGGCTTAAAGGATTCCCAGCATGCTTCCCAGCTGAGTGCTATGTATCTATTTGTTTAGAAGGCAATAAGAATTTGCATGCCATGCTTGTGTTGTGCATCGGGGCACAGTGTTTAAACTGCAGTACTGAAATGAAGATTGCTCATGACATGAGTTTGGTCATGGGGTCAGGTAGCCGGTTTGAGGTTGACTCCACCTTTCCTCTTTCTGAGGTTGTTAAATTGAATGCTCAGTTCATGGGGGGGATGTAGCATGCATAATTAAATTTCAGTCCACCCAGAGAGAGCACTATGGGGTATATACAGTGGTGCCTTGACTTACGACCATAATCCGTTTCAGAAGATGAACGTAACTCGAAATACTCATAAGTCAAAGCACAATTTCCCATTGAAATGCATTTGGATGTGATTAATCTATTCCAGAATGGAAAAAACCCTCAAAAATAAAATAAAAATAAAGCACTGCAAGCCCCATAGGAACGCTCTGGGGCTGAAAAACACACACACCAAAAATAAACAACGGAGCAAGCCCCAAAGGCGCTGGGGCTTTTTAAAAAAACCAAAATAAACAACAGAGCAAGCCCCCATTGGAAGGCGCTGTGGCTGCAAAACAAACAGACAGACAGACAAACAAACAAACAAACAACAGAGCAAGCCCCACAAAAACAAAAACCAAAAATAAACAACAGAGCAAGCCCCGAAGGTGCTGGAGCTTAAAAACAAATCTAAACCAAAAATAAACAATGGAACAAGCCCCATCGGAAGGCGCTGGGACTGCAAAACAAAAACAAAAAAAATAAACAACAGAGCAAGCCCTGAAGGTGCTGGGACATTTTAAAAAAACAACCAAAAATAAACAATCGAGCAAGCCCCATTGGAAGGCGCTGGGGCTGCAAAAAAATCACCAAAAAACAAAACAACACAAACACAGAAACATAACCCCCCCAGCCCCAACCCACCCTGCAAACCCACCCAGAACAGTTTTTAAAAAGCAGAAAACAGCACCTTACCTTACCAGGCAGTCCCAAGCCTCCTCCAGTTCACTCACTCTAACTGTTGGGGCAAAAGAACTACAAAGCAGCAGCCTTTTCGCCTACCAACGGTTAGCAATTTGAATTCCCCATCTTTTTCCCCTGCTTTTTTCCAGTCGCAACTCAAAGCAAATGTCGAAGCAAAATTTTGCGTCCGGAGCTGGGCTTTTTTCCAGTCGCAACTCAAAGCTCCGGCCACATGTCGAAGCAAAATTTTACATCCGGAACTGGTCATAACTCGAAATGGTCATTAAGTCAGGACGTTCGTAACTTGAGGCACCAGTGTATAAGCAGCACGCTTTGCTTTGCTTTATGGAAAGATGCTTTAAGTGCGCTATACTAAAATAGCTTAAAAAGAGAAAGTCCTTCAATGGCTTGGTCTTGCATCCTTGAGAATTCGTCATTACTGTATCTGTTTCTCTTATAGTTTCCAAAGAGGTATTTTCTCCCCTTTCTAATGATCTTTAAAATTGACAAGAATAATAGCTGAAACACTTCATCTACTTCACAGGTTACTATAGCAGTTAATAGCAAGTCCCATGGACACTTGTCCCAATTTGAGCATCACTGAGGAGTGGCATTTTTTGCCATTACATTATCTGCCTTATTTTGATCCTTCAAAATTATGACAGCACTTTACGCTAAGCTCTATGAAATGACAACATTGTAAAAATGCTTTAATTCTCTATTTTGCAGCTATAGCACAGTACTAATGAGAATTCTGTGCACCGCCACCTGCTTTTAAGAGAATACTGAACTCTGTGTGTACATGTTTGCATGTTCATGTGTCTTTTAAAAAATATACAAGAATAATAACAATGTACAATTACAATACCAGTTTAAATGGCAAGAACAAGAGATTGTAAAAATGCTTTAATTCTGTATTTTGCTGCTATAGCACAGTACTAATGAGAATTCTGTGCACAGCCACCTGCTTTTAAGAAAATACTGAACTCTGTGTGTACATGTTTGCATGTTCATGTGCCCATGTGTCTTTTTAAAAATATACAAGAATAATAACAATGTACAATTACAATACCAGTTTAAATGGCAAGAACAAGAGAGGGACCTTATATCAATCTTCATCACTCTAATGTGGAAATTTAAGAATGCAAAAATTTACAGGGAGAAATTGTTTTATATATTCCTTTTAGCTTCAGACTGTATGGTTTTATTTTGCATGTATAAATGCACTTTCCTTTCATTTAGTATTGTGGACATGGTATGTGGAATAAATTTCGGTCTGTTGGACTTGTATAATGAATTATGCATAGATTGCAATATTAGTGGAGCATGTAGTAACAGAACTAAGTTCCTAAAGGAAGAAAAATGTTCTTATATTATTTCTTATATAATAAAGCATGTTTTATACATTTAAGAGAAGCAGAACAATCCCGGTTTCATTAGTGTTAGAACCTCCCTTCCCCCCCCCTCACCACTAAGCCAGTGCTTTTGCACTTTCTTATTGGTTCTTACTTCCTTTTATGTTAGTACTCATTCAGTCTTTCTCTCAGCTCTGCCCCTGCCCCAAAGCAGCACTATTATCTTCCCCACCCCATCTTCTAATTGATTGAAGTACTCAAGACCTTGCAGTGGGAGACACACATGAAGCTACCTTCCCTTCCCCCCCCCTCACCACTAAGCCAGTGCTTTTGCACTTTCTTATTGGTTCTTACTTCCTTTTATGTTAGTACTCATTCAGTCTTTCTCTCAGCTCTGCCCCTGCCCCAAAGCAGCACTATTATCTTCCCCACCCCATCTTCTAATTGATTGAAGTACTCAAGACCTTGCAGTGGGAGACACACATGAAGCTACCTAGATTAGATGGATCTTCCCTACCCCATCTTCTAATTGATTGAAGAACTTGACCCTGCAGTGGGAGACACACATGAAGCTACCTAGATGCTCTCGGAGTAATAAATGTCCAAGGTCTTCTGAAACAGTTTTACAGTGGGGTCTTGACTTAAGAACGGCTCGAGTTAAGAACATTTTGACTTAAGAACCACTCTCATAGGAAAATATTGACTTGACTTACATACTTAGATTTGAGTTAAGAACTGAAAAAACCCATGTGGGAGGCAGGGAAAGTGCAAAATGTGAACTTTCAGTTAACTGTTGGCCAGTGAAAAGGGTGCCTGTCTGCTTCCTCACTCCTCCCAGCGTTTAGAGAGTGGATTGGGAGACAGTCTTCAGACTGCCTGGTACTGTCCTGCCTGGACTGTATTTTCCCTGCCTTCCCTGAACCTTTCTTGACCTAAGAAAAAAAAGAAACAAAATGTCTCCCTCTAGTGGTCGAAGGCGGAATAGCAGCTTCCCATTAGTTTCTATAGACGGAAAAGAGCAGATACGGATCAAATGGTTTTCAATGCATTCCTATGGGAAATGCAGATTTGACCTGAGAACTTTTTGACTTGAGAACCGCCTTCCAATACGGATTAAGTTCTCAAGTCAAGACCCCACTGTATCTCTAGTGAAGATTAAGGAAATCTGCCATGTACAGATAGCTGATGTTGCTGCAGTTTACCAATTTTAATTTTTCTGTCTTAAAAATGAAACAACGAAGTGATTACTGTACCAACTTGCAGGGCTAATTATGGATCTGTAATGGAGATGAAAACACAACCAGGCACATATTCTCTTCTTATAGACTTCATGAGATTCTTAAATACCTATAATCCTTAATCTTAGTATTTTGGAAAACTTGGTTCTGGTTAATATTCTGGAAAATATTAATATTTTGGGAAGAAGCGTGAAAATAGGGGCAGAAGAAACTATCTTACACCAAGTCATATCATTTGTTCATCTAGCCTGCTGTGACTGCTAGACGTCCTTTATGGTCTTATGCACCGGTCTTTCATATTACTTATTATCTAATACCTTTTTGGTAGAGATGCCAGGGATTGCATTTGAGACCTTCTACAAGAAAAGCACATACATGCTCAGTCACCGATCTTTGTTCTCCAAACCACTCATCACTCTATAAAAGGAAATGACTTTGTACAAGCAGTTCTTCTGAACCCTCAAGAGTGAGGGACTGTGGAACGCTACATCATGTACAGTCTCTCCAGAGTACCTTATTTCTTTTATGGACATGCCAGAAAGATCGATTAAGTAGTGATGCTTGACTGCTATATTACCACTAATGTGAAAGCTGACTGGAGTTGGCTATGTTAAAAAAAATTGTAGAGAAATTAACATTAATCCAGCTACATGTATACTATTAAGAGTGTTAGAAATTATTTAAAAAACAATGAATTATGAACCAGGTATAGGAAACCAATCAAGAAAATGTGTTCTTCAGCCCACTGAGTATGTATTGGTATACAAGCAAAAACATGCACTTGTACCGAAAGTTTCTATTTATAATTGTCAAATGAGTAATTTCTTTTCAAGCTGTCCCCCTCCCCCCGCAAATCCTAATTACTTATTGGTACAGTGATCCTTGTTGCAATTGAAGCATCTGTTTGAAAAAAATAGCTTTATTTCCGTAATTTGATCTGCTATGAAAACAAAAATGAGTTTTGTCATGTACTGTTCATAAAGCATGACTAGTGCAAAATGTGGCACTGCTGTTAACTATTGTATGGAAATGAACATTGACTAAATTTATTTAAAAAGTAATGAACGTTCAATTTTTAACAGCATTTTCTGTCCTCAAGAGAATACTGAAGAAGCTCTCTTGCTGCTGCTAATTAGTGAATCTATGGTAAGTGGACCTGCTTTCTATAGAAATGAAATTTACATTGTGTGCTGCTACTGTTTGTTTAAGCCAAAATGATGTTGCTTAATATACAATGCTCAACATGCTTCTGAGCATGTGCAAAATGTATTTCTTTTTTTGCTTGATTGTCCTGGTGCATAACCTGTATTGTGGGCAAGAAGTTACTCTTATGACAAACTATGGAGAGACAGAATGGTTTTCTATAGGCAAAAGTTTCAGACAAGGATGTATTTTATCTGCTTGTCTGTTTAAACCTTGCACAGAACAGATATACAGAAAGTCAGTCTAGATTCAGATAAAGGAGGAATGAAAATTGGTGAGAGAAACATCAATAATTTAAGGTATGCACCTTGCTGGAAGAAAGCAGTAATGGCTTGAAACGACTTTTAGTGAAAGCAAAAGACGAAAGCGAAAGTGCTAAAGCAGGACTGCAGTTGAACATGAAGGGAAAATGACTACAGAACTGCACAACATTAATTTCAATAATGTAGAAACGGAAAGAGTGAAGGATTTTGTACATTTTGGTTCAATCATTAATCCAGGGGAAAACTTGATTCATTTGAAATAGAGGTAGGCATGAACCATTCTTGAGACCTCCAGGAGCAGAAATAGAGCTCTCTTTTTTCACAAAAATGTTTAGTATTTATAAATTGGATGTTGTTTGATGGGCATGAGGGCTGCAAAAATGCCCCAACCTAGGCACTAGGCTCTTCCTGGCCAAGATGGAAGACTTTCTGAAGTGCCAAATCTTGTACCGCATGGCATATAACTTTCCAAATCACTTTTGGCACTGGTATTGCCCTCATTGTATGTACGACAGTGTACAACTGTGCATGTTTTTCAGGCTTTCAAAACATGACAGAAATTAATTTTTAAACATATTGAAAAGGAATTGTGTTCTTCCTATATGGGTATGTGGGTCGCAAGGCAGCGTCTAAGTAGTTATTGTCATAAAAATATAATGCTTGTGTGTATAATGCTCATTCATCGTACACATGAAAATCCACCCCTTGGAGACTGATTAGCCATCTTTTACTTACTGAAATCTTTAGAACCTAAAATGTCAAACAGCTATCAGAATGGCAGAGGTCTTTTGGAATCTGAAGGGCATGATGCTCTTCAACGTGATCAGAAATCAAAGTTAATTATACACTAATTTGCATCTAAATAACTACAAGGAAATGGGTTTACACCCATTCGTCTCTATTGCTTTAGAGAAAATCTCTGTGGCATTTTTCCATTTTTCAACAGTCTTTTGTATTAATTTCCTATTTCAGGTACTTATCATAATTATGATGCAGCATTTCTAAGGAAGTGCTTATCATCCAAAGCCATAAAACTTTGTTATGTTCTGACAGCATCACACATGAGACTGTTTTTCTTTTATGTCTGATCTTCTGTTCTTATTTTTGATCTTGCTTTCTAGGCTAATCGTGATGCTGTACTGAGCAGAATACCAGAACACAAAAATGACCGCATCATCAGTTTGCAAAGTGCATCTGTGGTCTACGACTTGCTTACGATTGCCTTAGGAAGAAGAGGTCAATATGAAATGCTGTCAGAGGTAAGTTGTGATTGTTGAACAGGAATACCAATGGCTTCATAATATTGTTTGGTTGGTAATACCGTGTTTTCCTGAACATAAGACAGGGTCTTAAATTTTTCCTCCAAAAAAACACATTAGGGCTTATTTTCAGGGGATGTTTAATTTTTTTCATGTACAATAATTTACATTTATTCAAATACAGTCATGTCATCTTTTGGTTGCTGCACAGTGGTGGAGGGTGGGATTTCACTTAACTGGGGCTTATTTTTGGGTTAGGGCTTACATTACGAGCATCCTGAAAAACCTTACTAGGGGCTTATATTCAGGTTAGGTTTTATTTTGGGGAAAACAGGGTATATTAAAAAATGATTCAAAATAGCACTATAGTTGAAGATTAAATGTTTTTTGGTGAAGCCACAACTATTAGTTTTCAAGATTTGAGCAGAAATTAATGGAAAAGACAATATTGCTAGGAAGCAGAGTGGGGGGAGAGAACAACCTAACATGAGATATTGTTGGTTTGTAAGATTTGAGCAGAACTGTTAATGATAGGACATTTTTAAAGTCACCACACATTTCCTTAATGGAAAAACAACAGTACAGTAACAGTATGGCTGGAACAGACACCCAAGCTCTGCTAAGATCAGGGAAGATCATCCCCAGCCACAAAACAAAAAAATAATTTCACAGCTTAAATGAGTGAGCTTCTGAATATTTATTCTCTTTTAAAATAAATTATTTTAAATATGTTTACACCATAAATAGAAACTCTTTTTAATGTTTGTTTGGCCAGGAAGGAGTTAAAACGTTTTCCTGTGAGTCATTTAATTTGCTCATGACTGGCAGGGTCAAAAGTTCAGAGCTCCTCCCCCTCCTTTGCAATAATGTTTACATTTAGTTCTGTGGTGATAAGAAAGCCAGAAACTCAGAGGGTTTTTTGCCTCTCAAATGGCTTTTTTGAAAAATCAGTATTTCCCCCCCACCGCAGCCTAGATTCTTTACAAGTAATAACCATTCTCTGTGAAGATAAGCAAATTTGGTATTTTCAATGTACAGTATTTGATTTGTTTTAAATCTTCAGATAGAGAATGTTGCTATTCGTGCATGGGGGTAATATCAGATATCCTCAAGTTTGGCACAAAGTAAGAGCAGACACTTATTACATTTGTGGCAAATTTGGTTCCAGAGGTCCAGTTTCAAAGTTATAATTATTTTGTTTTGGCCATGTTCTCCACACACGCACGCACACACACACCTGCACACACACACAGTTCTTGAGGCCCTTTTCTATGTTGCTTGAGGTTTTTTAAAAATATAACTTGGCAGATAAATATCTTTCTGCAAGTTCTATACATACTAGCAGAATTGCAACTTCTAAAACATGTTACTTTAACAGAGTTCTTGTGCTTTTATTGCTACTATGAGTCATCATGTGTCTGACATTTATTTTGTGGCAACTACTATCCTGATTCAAAATCTCATTTAAAAAGAAATCATTACTGATATATGCAAAACAAATTTGATTGTTTTCATTGTTGTTCTGTAATTAGGTTCTATAATCAAAATTCTATCTGTGTATTTTATCTCTATCTTTATGTCTGAGTATTTTCAAGAGTAGAATCCTGAGTAGGAGTTGGTTTCTGCTAAGTATTACTGAGTTTTTTAAAAGTGTAAAATTATATACATGCTTATTTGGAAGTGACTTCCAGTGGGGGATACTTTTGAACGTGCATGTAAATAGTTGCTGCACCATTAAGAAGTATTTAAAGAAATTTTAATATAAAAATATTCCAGCTAAGGTACAAAAGAAAATATAAACTGCATCTTAAAAGGTTGATGCTATGAAATACCTAAAGGTAGACCAAATTAAAATTAATTTAATTGACTAGAATTCTCAGAGGAGAAGAGAGATGTGTCTGTTGCGTACGTCAATAATACTTTGAGTCACCGTATTGTTAAACTACTGTGTAAAAACACAGCTGTGGAGCACCAGAGGTAATTCTGTTTACAGTATGATTGTTTAAGAAATGGTTCAGTTAACAAGATGTGCAGGAAATGACTGTAGAAGATCAGAAAGTACTGATGGTCCCAGTTCTTTCTAGGCTGATCTAAAACATGCATGCAGATTTTTGCTGTGTCAGTGATTCAGTCCTGATTCTTTAGCAGTGCATAATAAAATCACCTGTCTGAGAGCCAGTGCCACAGGATTTGATTAGACCTATATAGACTGTGTAGGAGAGTTCAGTTGTAAAATGGTACCGTGTTTCCCCAAAAAAGAAATTAGGACTTATTTTCAGGGGATGTTTTAATTTTTTTCATGTACAATAATCTACATTTATTCAAATAGAGTCATGTCATCTTCTGGTTGCTAGGTGGAGGGCGGGGTTTCACTTAACTGGGGCCTAATTTTGGGGTAGGGCTTTTATTACAAGCATCCTGAAAAATTATACTAGGGCTTATTTTCAGGTTAAGTCTTACTTTTGGGGAAACAGGATATTACATATCTGCTTCTTAGTTTTTCCATTGGTTAGCTGACATGATCGTCTCTCTGCTTCCCCTGCTGTGTTTCTTTTTCATACAACTTTGCTCCACTACCCCTCTCTTTACCAACTTGTTCCTTTTCTGTGATTCATGTTTTGTTAATTTTTTATCTCCTTAAATAATCATGAGCCATCAAATCAATTCTAACTTATGGTGACCCTTTTCAGGGTATCCCAGGTAGAGAGTACTCAGAAGTGGTTTACCATTCCTTTCTTCTTGGGGCATCCTGTGATTGTAGGGCTTGTCCAAGGCCACACAGACTGACTCTGCTCACAGGAGGCACTGTGGGGAATCAAACTCCTAACCTCTGAACTAAACTACTGAGCTATCCAGTAGTTTATCTACGTAATAACAAGTAATTTAAAGTCATTCTGGAATTCTCAAAATACTGCATCTATAAGGTACACCCATTGGCCAAAATCCTTTGGCGTAGCTGTGCAAGTAGTGTTACTTCTGAAGGTAAATTGCCTCGAGTTAAGAAATTACCATGGGTATTATCAGTTACATGTTGAACTACATAACTCACTATGCAGCAGCTAATGACTTTGGTGATTTCTTAACTCCAACATTTATGCCATTTGCGTTATGTCAGCATAACCAGGCAAGAAGATTAGGGTCATTGTTTAAAATACACCATATTTGTACACAAAGCAAATCCAGTATATTGAATAGAACCATTACTATACTGTAGCATTTGGCAAAAACTGAGAAAATTAATCGAGGTTGTATTTAAATAAATTCTTGAAACATTGAAAATTCTTACTCAAGGATTTCTGTGTATATTATAGTAGCCTGCTTCCATTGTGTAAGAATATGTTAGAGAAATTGCAAAATCCATCAGGCTTTGATCTTCTAGTGTATACTTTGCTTTGAAAGGTTGTATTTGTGATTTCAGACCTGCTTCGGAACTCTATGTTACACTTTCATTGACTTTACCTTTACTTTGCTCTTTTTATAGATGCAGATAAAGTTAGCCTGTTTTGTGATTCAGTCTCCTTGATCAGTAGAGCTTTTGATCTAGAATAAATCAGAGGTCTCAGAAGCCATGCACTTTGTGACCTAATGTGCCTTCAAAGCAGAACACATACAGAGAAAAAAAATTAGATCTTTCTAGTCAGTGGAATAATAAGTGTGCGTTTCCTTTAAATGTGAAATTAAAGAGAAGTGGGACTCTATTTGCATTCCTTTGCATTTGGCAAACTTAAATCCCTCTTAATTTTACGGAGTCTTCCCAAACATAAGGAAAAAGAGATGGAGTAGAAAGGATGAGTAGGATATATTTGGAAAGCTTAGGTGGAGTTGTACTGCAGGATGGCTCGGTGTTGCAAAAAAGGTTTGCGGATTTACCAGGTTTTATATGGAATGCTGGCACAACAGGGCTGGGCTCACATGGCATCCTGTGCAGAAACATTTTGGAAGGTCAAAGAGAGGTGTTGTGCAATGATCACTTTCTTCAACAATGTTCCTTTCTCTTGTGTATACAAACTGCACATTATTCTAGTTGCATTGTCATGTTGGTTAACTTGTCACAGGCCTGAATGACACAGTGCCCCCAGTCAAGGAGAGGTGCTTTGTAATGCCTTGTTTTCATTACCAGTGTTTCCCTGTGTTTTCAACGATACATTGCAAATGTAAGTTGCAAATTATTTTAATGATGTTGTCTGTGTTCTGCAACAGAAGGAGCAGCAAGGAGGATGCTGTTTTTCCCAGGTGACTGTTGGATGTGTTCATGGTTCTCACATTTGTTGAGGAGGCTCCTTTACTACGTCACCTGGGTTGCCTCATAGCAAACTTGTACAACCTAGTGCCTCCATTTTCCTTCCTGAATATTGTTATTCCCATAGAAGGATTTTTAAACCTTTTTTTTTACTGCCCTTGCCCGCAAGAACATCCAAGCCCATAAAAATCGGGGATTCAGAAGAAAGAATGCCTGCTTCATTCTCATCTCCATTGCATTCATAGATATACAGTGACAGGAGGTAGTGCTACTTTTTCCTCATGTGGCACCTAGACTTTTTTCAGTAGCGTGAATTGCTGGAAACAACCAGCATGCTGTTTCCTACCAAACTAAACCTCTGAGATGGAGCAGAGATAGAGATAGGGAAGGGAGGAAAGAATGAAGGAAGAAACCGGGGCAACAAGTACTAGGATGCAGAGAGCAAAGGCGAAACAAGCAACAGGGTTTCCAAGAGATCGGTGGTGGTGGTGAAGAAACAGGCAAGCTTTGTGTGATAGTGCTGACACCAGGTTTTTGTGAACCCCCATCATGAGTCCTCCTGTGTGTCAGTCTCCTAGTGTTTTAGCATGTATGGCTGTAGAGCCATTGCAGAATACGATAGTGGTATGTGCCTGTTTTTCTCTATGCCCAAGCTGTATTCCTAAGATTACTTACATAGAAATATTGACTTATATGTGTAAATCTCCATTTGGTATAAGCCTTTCTTAGTTTGAGCAGAAGCTAAGATCTCTGTCCCATCCTATTATTTTGCAGTTTTTTGTTGTTTTTGTTTGTTTGTTTGTTTGTTTGCTTCTTTTACATGTCTTTTCCCTGACCTGACAAATTGTTTATCATGAAGACGTGTGGTTATCATTTGGGAAAGGAATTTTGTTATATAGCTGAGCTGGCCAAGGTCAGTGGTATCAGACAGCTGTGTCTGGGATCTCAATGTTTTATCAATTTGCCAATTAGGGAGGACTTGCCTTATCAATGTGCCAACTAGTGATTACTCTTAAAAGGTTTTGCGAGTTTAAGAAAATGTGTGCTGTGATCCTAGCCAGGGGCCAGCTGCTTTAAAGATATAAAGGGGCCAGAATTTAGGGCAGTTGTTGAGATTTAGCGCAGGCCAGTTTGGAAGGAGTAGTGCAGTCCACATGGCTGTGAACCCCACAAGTTGTGATGATTTGGAGCAGAATTTCTCCATCACTGTTTCCAAGGGCTCCCAGTGGCTGAAATGGTTTTAGATCTTTGCTTTAGTCTGTTCTTTTCTGCAATATTTCTTTATACTATTCTGTACTCAATTTATTCTGTGCTTCTCTTTCTTCTCTCATAAAGTTTTGTAGCAGTCACTCATTGATGTGGTCATTCTTTCCAAAAGGATCTATTGCCCTTAGCAAGACAATACCCCATTTCCCCTGAATTGTCATAAACATATACACAGTGTGGTGTCCTCAAACATACAAAGAAATGGGATTGACACTCATTCTTTCATTCACTCTCTCAAACCTGGGACATGGATGAGCTTTTGTTACAGTTACAAATAGACAAGATGGCCGACTTCAGCAGGTAGATTGTATAGGTCATCACATAACTGAGGAGGTGCTGGCTTGAGTTTATAGCCTCCGCTTTCTCTCAGTTCAATGTCTGTACTGCTAAAAGTGCAGAAACTAGGGAAGGCAGGAAAAGAGGTCTGAGTGTAATCTCTGGGAACTCTGCAGCACTGTTCAGACCCTTCCAGCGTCTTTGCTGTTAGGACCTGATAATGGTGTAATGGTGCCGAGCAGGGATGGCAACATTGTCAGGCCTGGAAACCCATTTTCACCCTCAGAAGCAACCTCAGAGCTCACCAGGCCCAGAAGTGGCTACTGCCACACACATACAAAGGAAAGGGTGGGGGGGAGAAACACAAATGTTCTTTCCCTGAAACAGAAACTGCTACTCCTATAGGCCTCCAGTGGTTGAAAAAAAAACAGATTTTCCGGGGGTGTGCGTTGGGGATTCTGGGGTGAAAAGAAGACATCCTTGGATGGTCTCTATGCCCCACTGGCTGCGCTTTGCTCTCCCCCATAGAGACAGTGCAATCTGTGGGGTGCAGAGAGAGCAGAGTGGCCACTTTATTATCATGGCAAAAGGAAAGGAAAGGTGAACCATAGTGCTGTAGTGAAGGAGAGTGATGGTTTACCATGAAAGAAAAGGAAGGGAAAAAGAAATACAAAATATATTAGAAAGACAATGCTGGGTTCAGTATTTCCTTGAGTTAATGGTGAAATGCAAAACCTCCTGAGTTACAGAAATGTGAAAGAAGCTCTCACCTATTTGCATTGAGCACTCTGGCTTGGAATACTATGATGTTTGGAGTTGTTGCTGATTAACTAGTACGTATAGCAGTTTTAAAAAGCAACGTGCTTTTATAATCTTCGTCCTGCTTGCTGTGGACAATACTGACCAAAAAAGTATGCACATTGCTTGTTTATACAATTGACAATGGGTATTTTTGTTTGTTTGTTCTTATTTTAGTGCTTAGAAAGAGCCATGAAGTTTGCCTTTGAAGAATTCCACCTTTGGTATCAATTTGCACTTTCTTTAATGGCTGCAGGAAAAGTAGGTTTATTTGCATATTTTGGATTGTTTGTGTGATTTTTTAAAATGGATGCTAATGCTAATACTGTTGCAGTCCTGTACATACGGATCTAACATCTAACTGGTACAGGATTACAATTGTAGCTTGATTTATCATCAGAACACTGAATGCCACATTCCTTGAGTTGTATAAAAACTCAGTCTGGGTAAACTGTAACAGATTTGTTATTGGTCTTGCCACACCGTAAAATGCAGCTTGATTGTTCACTTTGCTTTTTGCCATTTTCCTATGAAGTGTGGCTTAAAATTATTTTAACACGTTAAACAACATGCTAGGTGAATCCCAGCCTGAGCTGTGGTTAAAGAAAACCAATCACTAGAAGGAATTCCTCAGGTACAGATTGATTGTTTATCATAGCAGGAGTTTTCCACAGCTTCCCACAATTAAAAAAAACAACAACCTTTGTATGTTCTGTGGTTGGTCTTAAATCCAAAAGCATGTTCTTGTTAGCTGTCTTTTCCTCTGTCACATCTCTGGAATACTAATGTGATTTCAACAGTGATAATAAGTTATCTGTAACATGAAGCTTGTCCTGTGTTGGGTTCTTCTCTTTCAATATAACAAAATGGGTTAGAATTGCAGTGCTTAAATTCATTTGTTCTCTCACGAAAATATTTTTATCTCTATTCCCCTACCTATTCTTGTGGTTGAGGTGGTAGGCAATGTCTCCCCCCACCCCCCCCAAAAAAAGAAATGAAATAGGAACAAATGCTACACTAGGAAAACAGATAGTCAAGGAAGTGGTAGTAGGCTGAAATAAGACTGTGAAGTTACTAATAATCATTTACTTACTTACTTACTTACTTACTTACTTACTTACTTACTTACTTACTTACTTACTTACTTACTTACTTACTTACTTACTTACTTACTTACTTACTTACTTACTTACTTACTTACTTACTTACTTACTTACTTACTTACTTACTTACTTACTTACTTACTTACTTACTTACTTACTTACTTACTTACTTACTTACTTACTTACTTACTTACTTACTTACTCAATCATCTATTCCATTTCTCCATTTTGGGCCAAATCCACTGTTATATCAAATTTTTGCAAAGAAGTTTTCATCGCCTACTCCCTACAAGCCTTGTACCACTCAATAATTGTTTCTGGGGAGTCTCCTAGCCTTGCAGAGACAATTTTCAGGTCACACAGTATAGTGTTACTGTATAGTGTAGGTAGTGTCTCCTATTTCATCTGGATTCTCTTATTCCACCATAAAAGTCCACCTACCAGTTTTGGCCTTCCTTAACATGTACTACCTGTTTTTGACTGATTTTGTGCATGTCCTGTGGCAATTTCTGTGGAATTAGACACATCGCATGCGACTTGACACATTTGCTAAGTTCCTTCTGTTGCACAGTAAGCAGTAGTAGTTACTTGGTCTGAAAACTGAGTAGCCTGTTTGAAGCTGCTGATCCAGTTGAGTAATCAGACCCTTGACACTTCATTTGAAAATTGTCCAGCAGTTGTTTATTACATCTTGCAAGGAGTTAGTAGCGCATTGCAAAATTCTTACTGTAATCTGCTACCCTGGTTGTCTTATCCCGAGACATGTTTTTATGCAGTCTGCTCGAGCTGTGAAAGTCTTGAAAGAGTGTATTCGATTGAAACCAGATGATCCAACAATCCCACTTCTTGCTGCCAAATTATGTATGGGATCCCTCCACTGGGTAAGTCTCTGAGTCAGTAAAAGTGAACATTTAAAGATACACAAGCAGCTGTTAACTAAATAAACTTTTTCTAAAATTCTGTGCCATTCACATGTGGGATTGCCAAAAAACTCAGGTTTCTTATAGGAGTATGAACTTGGGTTAAATAGGCAACTGATTAAAAATTACAGTTGTTATTGGAGAATACTTTTTTAAAATGTTCAGGTTTTGAACTTGCCTGTAGTTACTGTACATGCATAGCCCCTTTGTGAAATACAGTGGTGCCTCGCTTGATGAGGATAATCCTCAAGCGAAATCGCTGTAGAGTGAAATCCTCGTCAAGCAAAATAAAAAAGCCAATTGAAATGCATTGAAAACTGGTTCAGTGCGTTCCAGTGGGCGAAATACCTCAGCGTCCAGCAAAGATCCTCCATAGGGCAGCCATTTTCCGATGCCTGTGGAGCGAAAAATCCGTCCTGAACACAGCGGGGAGCCATTTTGAACAGCCAGCAGCCATTTTGAAAACCTGACGATCAGCTGTTTTGATCGTCGTAATACGAAGAATCGGTTCCCGAAGCAGGGAAGCGATCATCGTAAAGCAGATTTTGCCCATTAAAACATCATTTTGCAATCACAATAGTGATCACAAAAACATCGTCGTGAAGCAGATTCATCTTCAAGCGGGGTAATCGTTAAGCAGGGCACCACTGTACATACTTTTTCTCAAACATTGTTATATACAGTGAAGGAATGAGAGTCTGTTTCCTATGTAAGTACAGGATTTTTAAAATTTGTCTAATGATATTACAGGATTTTTACACCTTCTACTCTTCCCAGCCTTTTGATGGATGGATGGATGGATTGTTATGTATATTGGCTGAAATTCTATTGCTTAGCATAGTAAGTGCATTAGAGTAGGCTGATTAAATCAATTTGATTGATTGGCAGTTTGGTGAGTCAACTCCATAAATGCCATTGATTCAAATAGACTAAATATAGTTGCAACTTACTTTAGCACAGTAAGTAACAGTTAGAGTAGGTCCATTGGAATTTATGACACAGAAGAGTTGACTCACCAAGTCCCTATTGATTCAATGGGTCTAGTCCAGTTCACTTAAAATGTGAAGCAACAGTAGTTTTTGTAGGTTAGTTAGGCTGTTTTTTGCAAGATAGAGTTTTTCCATAGTTGAAAAATTTGAAGATTTCATATACCTGTAACAGATAGTTTCGCATTGGCAAAGCAGCTACCATGTTCTCTAGACCAGTAGTTCTTAATCTTGGGTTACTCAGGTATTTTTGAACTGCAACTCCCAGAAACACCAGCCAGCAGACGCTGTTCCAAGTGCTCCATATGGAGCACATTACCATAGTCTTTCAAGACTGAAGGATGCCTAACCTATCAGATAGTTGAGTCATAATTTACTTTGAACTTGATGGTTCCTTGCCTGTTTGATTGATCTAGTCAGATTTTGGAGCCAGACTGTTTTTCTGTAACTGTTCTACATTTCCATTATATACCATACTATGGGATATATGTCAAATCAACAGCAATACTGATGTCTTTATCCCCCCCCACACACACACACACACGTACAAGAAATATAGTTAATATATATGTAGTGGAGGCCTCTTTAGCTGTTACACCAAGATTTGGGCCCCATCCTTTGAATGAAGCAACCATATTTTTTTGTCAGTTTTAAAGGTAAAGGTAAAGATTCCCCTTGACATTTAGTCTAGTCCTTTCCAATTAGGGAATAGTGCTCATCCCTGTTTCCAAGCCATAGAGCCAGCATTTTGTCTGAAGACAGTTTCCATGGTCACATGGCCAGCACGACTAGACACAGAATGCCGTTACGTTCCCACCGAGGTGGTACCTATTTATCTACTCGCATTTTTACATGCTTTAGAACTGCTAGGTTGGCAGGAGCTGGGATAAGCGACGAGAGCTCACTCCGTCGTGTGGATTCAATCTTACGACTGCTGGTCTTCTGGCCTTGCAGCACAGAGGCTTCTGCGGTTTAACCCACAGCGCCAACTGGATATCTTGTTTCTGAGGGACTTCAGCGTTGTTGTTCTGATCAGGGTGTTCTTGATGATGGCTGCCTTTTTAATCTCTCTATTAACTGCTCCTCTTGTATGATTTATGTTTTAATTTTTTAATTGTATTTTATAATTGTTATGTACTCTAGGGGCAATATGTGTTTAAAAAAACCAAAACCTAGATCTGTCAGCAGTCTGGGCTGATTCTGTTTTGGATTTCTGGCAGACATTAGTCAATGCTGAATCACTTCTAGGACAGGGTGGCCATCCATTAGACAGGGCAGGTTCATGCTTCTTATCTCTAGTTTCATAGAAATCTGCACTTTTGTTTATAGTTAGAAGAAGCAGAACGGTTTGCCAGAATGGTGGTTGATGCAGGAGACAAAACATCAGAGTTCAAAGCCAAAGGTTTTTTAGCCCTGGGACTGACTTACAGCCTACAAGCTACAGATGGTAAGTGGGCTACATGCATTCATTTATAAGGACAATATATAACACAGTATCTACAAACATATCAGACAGTAAAAATAGTGTGTATTGGGGTTTTTAATGTAAGTTTAAAATATTAAATGTGTGTTAGGGAGCCTGTGTTTAAAGATCACTAATTAAAATTTTGTTTTTAGCTTCTTTGCGAGGGATACAAGAAGTCCTTCAACGAAAGGCTCTCCTTGCATTTCAGAGGTGAGTGGATGTTATTAATCTTTTTCATTCAGCTGTAGGTAATGAGAAACCTTATGTGCATTTTTAAAAAAGAGATATTTATAAATGATTATGTAATATGGATTTTACATCTGGGAGTCTTTCTTGCACGAGTACAGAACATATTGCATTAGCATGTGCTTCATCAAGTAGTGCTGGCAAATCCAGTCTGATTCCTAAGGATTTCCCCTTATTTCATTATTAAAGATACTTTTGTTATCAGCTAGTAGAGAATACCATTTGTTCAACATCTGTTAAAAGAACTGTTCTTTGTCTGAATTCTCATTTTCTCCTTCTAAAAGAAAACACAGCTCTGAATACCAGAGGCTGGTAAAGAATATGCAGTATGGATGCCATTAGATTAGTTTTGCTACAAGCATTATAAACTTGTTCAGGGGCTTTTATCCTCAAAACAGTTGTGGGAAAGTACTCTGACTTCACCATGACACACAGGTGGATCATGAATTTTCACAAGTACTAAGTATGAAGGTTGAAATAACATATTAGCTCTAATAGAGCTGTGCTTTCAGTTACCAAGGATTCTTGAAACGTGGGGTTACATACAGTTCTCGCCTAGCTTCTTAGTGATTGAGAAATACTTAATTATCTTTCACCATACCTGGAAAAAAAATCATAAGAGAGCCTTCTCTCACAGTTCTAAACCCGATGAACATAAAACTAAAAGAAAAGAATTATTCTAACAAAAAGAGGATCCAAGAGGAATAATATACAACAATGTAAGGGTTAGGTAGTGACAGATTTCACTTTCTTGGGCTCCATGATCACTGCAGATGGTGACGGCAGCCACAAAATTAAAAGATGCCTGCTTCTGGGGAGGAAAGCGATGATAAACCTAGACAGCATCTTAAAAAGCAGGGACATCACCTTGCTGACAAAGGTCCGCATAGTCAAAGCTATGGTTTTTCCAGAAGCGATGTATGGAAGTGAGAGCTGGACCATAAAGAAGGCTGACCGCCGAAGAATTGATGCTTTTCAATTGTGCTGGAGGAGACTCTTGAGAGTCCCCTGGACTGCAAGGAGATCAAACCTATCCATTTTGAAGGAAATCAACCGTGAGTGCTCACTGGAGGGACAGATCCTGAAGTTGAGGCTCTAATACTTTGGCCATCTCATGAGAAGACTCCCTGGAAAAGACCCTGATGTTGGGAAAGTGTGAAGGCAAGAGGAGAAGGGGACGACAGGGGACGAGATGGTTGGACAGTGTCATCGAGGCGACCAACATGAATTTGACCCAACTCCGGGAGGCAGTGGAAGACAGGAGGGCCTGGCATGCTCTGGTCCATGGGGTCACGAAGAGTCAGACATGACTTAACAACTAAACAACAACAAAGGGTTAGGCTAATTACTGAAAGTATGGGCTCCATTAGTCTCTAAAAATGCTTACCATCGGACCCTCAGGATATCTGATTCTGAGACTTGTAAGTGCTACAAGATCCATGACTTCATGTACAGTAGATATGTAATCACTTACTGTCTAGTGGTAAAGCTGGTGGAGGAAGGTGCTGTTGATTTGGTGTCTTTTTTTTAATAACTCCTGTCTGGGTGTAGTGAAATTGGGAAGTTTGTGCGTTTCAGAATAAAAGGGAACAAATTGTTTGTAGCATGTTTATGTTTGTATTGTATAGTATTAGCTTTGTAGGAAATAACCCTTTCCTCAGTTATCCATAGAGGCATGATCTTGTGACCCACTTGGCTGTTGACTTGTATTAGTGTATTATGTTACATTAAGTTATATTCTTACAACAAGGAAGCTGAATGTTGTAGTTTTTCAGTGCTGGGCAACAGATGACCTAAAAATGTATTGCAAATCTATAATGGTAACTTTGCTGGGAGGTAATGGATAAATAAAAATGCCTTTTCACTCTTAATTCACCTTTGGTTTTGTATTAGAGCATCCCCAGGCAGGGCTCCCTCTAAGGTGTGCAGTTGCACGTGTCAGCATGACTCTGCCCATTCCATGCAGGGATTCTCCTCTTCCACACACCCACAGTGATAGTTTCCAGCTCCTTTGGTTCCAGTTGCAATGGAACCCCATGCCGTGGGGAAGAGTCACACATGTGGTGGGAGCAGAGTCGTGTGCACGAGAGGCAGACCCCTGCCCAGTGGGGCTGAACATTCAAGGGAACGTTGACCTCCAGTTTTATTATAGTGTTTCTTCCTAATTTTTCAACATCTGTTATTTTTTAAAAAACTGTGAGTAGGATAATCTTATGAGATAATGCTAGGTAATTCAAGAATTAGAGCTGGCCGGCTCTTCAAGCTCAGTGCAGAATTCCGCTAGTGTATGAGTTATCTGTGAAATGGAAATGGTGCTGGCTTTCAAAGTAAGGTCTTTCCCAGGGTGCTGCAATACAACTGGCAATAGCAGAGGAAGAGCTACACATTTAAAGTGTACTGAAGCATTGAATATCTTTAAATGTTTTTCAGGGCACATACATTGTCTCCAACTGATCACCTGGCTGCATTTTACCTAGCTCTGCAGTTTGCCATATCCCGGCAGGTTAGTTTAAACGTTACATGTTTTTATAAGGTGTGTTGATTATGGCAGTAACTAAACAGCTGATTTATCTTTGTTTTCTACCATATGTTAAGGTATCTGTTCAAAAGCTGCACATTAACAAGTGTGCATTTATGTATCTCCT